CTGTATTTTCGTTGAATTGCGTGAAAAACACAAAAATCGGAAAATGAGTAGGGGGGGGGGGGGGGGGGGGGGCGCAAACGGAGTAGGGGGCGCTGCGCCTAGAACCCTGCATTGTAATAGATAAGCTGCGTGTCATTCTCTTGTTCCAATGTTTAATAACTAAATTTAATACTTCTCATGTATCGACAGTGCTAGTAAAATATCAATGTTTTCAACGGTGCAAGTACCGGTAAGTATTTTTATTTTGCATGGATCGTGCAAGTGCATGCGTCCTTTGTGTTCTATGTGCGCTGGAGTACTGCCACCATACCAGGTCACTGTCCTAAAGCCATGGCATGGTACAGTGGCAGTGCACCAGCGTACGCAGTACCCCAGGAGTCTTTCCTAAATACGGCTAATGGGTATGGGTTACTGCTCTGATTGGCCAAATGCTAGCAACAACATGACAACAGGAACGTAACATGTATAAACTTCACATCACTTGACATGGTTACGCTGGCAAACAGTGCAAAGTGACCAGCAGAAAGTTGAGCCCAAAGCAGGGCTGCATACAACCCTGTATCTATCATCAAGAGTACATGACCCCAAGAGTAACCTCTATCCAGTTCTGCGACAGCAGAACTTCACATCACGTGACATGGTTCGAGAGGTTTCGCTGGCGAACAGTGCAAAGTGACTACAAGAGAGTTGAACAGTGCAAAGTGACTACGAGAGAGTTGAACAGTGCAAAGTGACTACGAGAGAGTTGAACAGTGCAAAGTGACTATGAGAGAGTTGAACTCAAAAGCAGGGTTGTCTACAACCCTGTACCTATCATGCACAGGGTCCAAATAATGTGTACGGGTTTGTCACGCGATGTGACGTTCTGCCATCGCAGACCCCATAGCTGGAATTGAACACTCTTGGTATGCCATAGGGCGCTGACACTGCGACAGCATGATGCAAAATGTGATGGTAATGCTCGCACTTTGTCTAAAAAACGGCAAAGAGAAATGCTGCGTTTTCGAATTTCTGGACGTTCGGAAAAATTGCTTGTATTTTAAGTGTATTTCCAGTTCAAATTGAGTGAATTTTTACAGGCAATGAGCACTCTTATTTCATGCAAGGCCAGGACGAAAGCTCAACTTCCCAAAAACTGACAGACGTCTGATTTGTTCTTTTTCACGAGGGCCAATTTGTTCTCCACCTGAGAAGTTCAGAATTTCCGCTCGATGGTCACGCACCTGAATTCACGCCCGGTTTCATTCGAAATACGCCTTGCGTCCATAGCCGTGCCTCCCCCCCCCCCCCCTTGAGGTTACAGTCAGAGAAACGTATCCGTGGCATTTAGGTCACGTGCATGTCGTTGCCATGCAGCTTGACCGCATCGACGCCGGTTTTGGCCACAGTGTGAGCGCGCCCTTCCACAGTTCATGCCCCAATGGGGTTAAGATAATGGTGGCATAAACATAACAGAAGTAGGAGGCAAGATTTTTTTAGAACAAAGTTCGCAGGCATCCACGCAATTTCACACAATTTCTACTTGTCACGAGTGTTGTATCTCATTATCTTTACACTACATAAGTTGTAGTTCTTTGCATTTCAGCCATTCCCTGTATAATCCTTGAAGAGAAGGGAATGAAAACATTCGATACCTTATGTGAAGTGTCTTCTGGACTGGATGCGTGATATTGCCCACATAAAAAATTCTGATAATTCGAACCTCAAACTGGATATGTCCGGTTAATTAGAAGTCCCACAGATTCCACTTACATAGAAAATGTGTGGGATTTCTGCTGATAATTCGAAGTTAGGGGCCGTCCAAGGTTACCAATAATATTTTCAAAACGAAATGTTTTCGTTTGTGGGTGGGTGGGTTTGATGGAGTTTCGTTTTGAAAATAATTATTGAATGCTGATGGAGAATGTCCAGTTACTTCTGGGTGTCGAAAATTGACATCAATATTTTATTGGAATTCGTTTTACCTGCAGAAAAGGTGGGTGGGGGCTGAAAAATACTAAGACTTTTCGTTTTGTAAAAACAATTGGTAACCCCGGACGGCCCCTTAGCAAAGTGTAATTCGAAGTTCACTGTGCATTGTACTGGTCAGTTCAGTTTGCATGAGCAGGCTGTGCCGGTCAGTTCAGTATCCGTGAAATCTTCGTCTAGGTCCATAGCGCAACTCTGCGTCGCCATGAGAGCATTTTGACATACATATTGCGTTATCGGTTCATGTTTTGGATAATTAGAATGTCCGGATAATGTACCGATTGCCATTTGTACAGATCCACGAAATCCCGTAGACCCGGTAGGGTGTTGAATGTGCAGGACCCTATTGTGTTTTCTGCTATTTCCACTAAGAAATGGGGCCTGAAGGCATTTCATACGAAAACCTTTTTCTGACAAAGATCTAGCTAGTCATAAGTTCTAACCAAAGTGAAGAAGCTGGAAAAGCAATTGCTGGTCATTGAATTATGACGCTAAAAAGGTCAAATGCGCATGCATAGCACACAATGAACACCCTACCGGGTCTACGGGATTCTACGGGATTTCGTGGATCTGTACAAATGGCAATCGGTCTATTAGAAATTTTTTTCCTGGCATTTTGAGGTTCGAATTACCGTAAAGTCTTGTATAAAAGCCGCGACTTCTATGACTTTCTTGGTGAAATTTTGCAGGCTTCTATATTAGACAGGCTTCTATACAAGACACTGACAGGTATTTCTATGTATGTCAACACTAAAACCAGGCTTATGTGTGATTTGATGGGACCAAAATTGCGGCTTCTATTCGAGGGCGGCTTCTATACAAGACTTTACGGTATCAGGATTCCACCTGTATTATAATTGGTAGTCTTGGAAACGCACTTGGAGACATGCTTCTGCCAACAACAATGTTCGTGTCATCACCATTAGCAGTGGATTCTCAAGTTACTTACAGGAATGGAAGGTGATATGAATGATATGGTGACCAGGGACCACGGGTGTAACTTTTGTATGCTAATGTTACCAATGTGTCATGAATATGTGAATATATTATGGGTTTACAAAAGTGATTATATTATTACGACATTCAAACACAAGGTGACAAAAATATTTTACCTTCACGTTGATTTCTTGTTCGCTTGCGTATTCGGATAGCTGAACACCCGGTATATAGAAGCCATTGACTCCACCGAGTGCGATACCCACCAAGAGCAATACCTAATGCAAATTGGTCAAATCCTACTGTTACTTGAATTCGCTATCATGAACCTAAAGGATATCAAGCATCTACTCACCTCAAATATCCTCCTCATCATCAATCACTTCAGAAATCTCCAGCTTTTACTAGGCAGCTTACTCCCTGGAATATCTCAGTCTCCGACGACCAGAAAAAATGTAACGGACGCCTTTTACCAGGTCACTAACTGGCCACTGGTCAGATACAAAAAAAGTGGCTCCACAATGAAAACGTCCAGACCCTGTCCTATTCCATCTTCCACGTTGAACACATCACAGACTCAGCTGTAGTGCAACCAGCTACACTACAGTCTGTACAGTCACCAACAGCTTGCTCGATCGTAGTTAGGGGTCGTCGCAAAAGTTTTTTGTCGTCCCTGAAACGAACATGATTCGTTTGGGGGGGAGGGGGTGCGAGCCAAAATCGCAAGTCGACCGACACTGTGCATATGACATGTACATGCATGCGATTTTCGTCGTCCAGCATAGCAAGCTGTGTTCGTTTCAGAGGGAGGGGAGGGGGTCCAAGTACGAAATGAACGATGTTCGTTTCAGGGACGACAGAAAACTTTTGCGACGACCCCTTAGCAAGCAGCCGATAATTATCGCTTTCACATCGCGTCGGCGAAAAGTGGACCGGTACGCGGTACGAGCGTACACATGCCATGGTACATGGTGTGCGAAGTGCGGCGGGGCTGCGAGCTAGCGCGTGCTAAGCGCGACGCCGCCGCCAGTGCTTCCGAGTTTTCAGTCGCAACAGCAAGCGCCGCGGCGCCGGCGGGACACGCAGGGAATTCAATTTCAAAATACAGATCTGCTTTTGTGTTTTTGTTTTGTGGAATTCAAGGAGACAGTCAGTAAAAATGTGAAGAAAGAATGTTTTGATCCACGAACACTGTCGTTTCCATGTTTCGTCGTGGCGTGAGTCATGGTTCTTGATAACTCTCCTGCTCCCAAGCTAGTAGTTCATGCAGATACATGCACTTCGACGGTGTAAGGTGTACTTCGAAGTAGTTCATTATGAATTTGGCTCGCATTCTAAAAACTCCATTGCCAATAGTCTCGACGAAATTGCTGTTTTGTCGTGCATTGCACGTACCTCTGACAGCATCTCGACTCCCACATTTGCACAGGAAATCCTTTGCTAAGGTTAGAAGGAAAACAAGAATGATGTAAAGACCATGAGACTGAATGCATTATGATTTGTCCGGATTGGGACGTTGGGGAGCTTGTTTACTCTTGACACAACAATGATCCAAAAAGTGGGCAAAAACAGTCGTATAAAATAAAATAAAAAAGCTATTTGTGCAAACTTGTATCGCTGGTACCGTATGTACCGGTAACATGGATTGAGAAACCTAGGAATAAAGATAGCATGCACATGTGTGCACGCACCACACACACACACACACACACACACACATGCGTGCACAAACACATACACGCAGCTGCCAACCAACTGGGTCTGTTTTACGCGCCCCGGACTTCTGATTTTCTGCATTTGCAGTGTTTTGCATACTAGTAATGTACTACATGTACCATGTACACCTGTTTTTTTTAACACGCACATGTCCGTCACGTCAGTGGCTGGATTTGTTTGTACAAAACATGAGTGACTTGTACTCCTGACGTGATTACTCGTGCTACATGTATGCGTAGTCGTAGCACTGCATGCACTCACTTTGGTACTAGGATATTCATCTTTTTGCTTGCGCTTGCCATGCGTCTACCCAGCTGATCGTTCCTTTTCGATAGTCTGTACCAATTTGCTCAGAATTCCGTAGTGCATATGAAGGAGTGATTTTCTGTACAAGTACGGAAAAACACGGAAGGTTGGCAGCACACACACATATACACGCACGCACACACAAACACACACACACACATACACACACTCCTTCGCCCACTGCCGCAACTGGCTGTGCGTCCCCAAATGGGGCGACTCCGAGGGGGTGTTAGCGTCGCGACGTTGCATGAGCTATTGCAGTTCCGGTGGCACGTGAGCAGGTTTTACTGTATTTATGTTTTCTTTTCGGAGTGATGAGAGGTGCGTCTGTGCCTAGCTATGTCTTATGGACGGCTGACATGACATGTGCAAGTCGAACACAGTAGTGGATTCACGGCATGTTGCGCACGAGACCACACCGCGCTGTGAACTCTATCCTGACAGCTGGTCCTCCACTTTGACCTGTCCTCTGCCATATCAAGCCTCTCAGCCATACTGCAGTGGACATCCCTGCCAGGTTGTGCTTGAGCGAGTCTTTCCATTTCTAACAAGAGCCATGATGAGGCTGCTTAGCCGGCAACACACCAAGGACCAGTTGGCGAGGAATAAGATCTCTCATACGAGCCATGTGAGTGATGTGACCTAGTCATTAGAGGCGCCGGTGCCAAATCAGAGATATGCTCCATTTCTCCCGCCATTGCCAAACCTGGAGTGTTGATACATGCTCGATATATGCCCCAGGACCATGCGTGCAAACCGCAGGTGGAGGGACTCCAGACTGTGAAGATCTCGCTGCCTCGGTGCCCAGCTCCCAGCACTGTAACTCCGTAGATAATGCGCTTGAGGCTGGTTGGGAACTCTGTGTTCTCATAGACAGCTTTCTTCAAGGCACCAAAAGCATCTGGTGCTGCAGCGATCCTGCGAGACACATCTTAAGTTACTCCTGAGATCAGGGGTGACCTGGCAGCGAAGATAACGAAAGCTGTTCACACATTCAACAGGCCCACCCAGAGGCAACATATCCAACTCCACGGCAACGACACCCATCAGCGTGACTTTTGGTTTTGCCGTCAGCTTGGAGGGGTACCCGGCACTCAGCTTCATGCAGCAGGATGTGCAGAACACTGGCTGCCACAGTGAGCTAAGCGCATGTGAAGCAGCCGCGGTTCTGGATGAGATATCAATCGAGCAATGGCCAAAAATGTCGATGATCAAGCGAAAGTAGAAATTCGGTACCACTCTCCATGTGGTTTGAACCATCACAAACGGGAGCAAGGTCTGCATCAGAAATGCCTCTGCTGATCATCACGAACTTGGTTTTAGAGAGACTGACTGTCAAACTCTGAGGCGACTTTATTAAATACAACTGCAGCTTGCTCTAGCCCAGATCGAGTGATAGCAAACAACAGCGTGGAACCTGGGAGTCGTCAAATCAAAATGTTCATTCCACAAATCCGTGTTTGTGTCTGTGCATGAGTTTGTGTGTGTGCTGTGTGTTTCCTGTGCTGTAGGTGACTAATGATGATATCAAGCAGTTTGAAGGCATTCTCTCATCAAGCAGGGTGCTCTGTGCTGAGGAAGATATAGCTGGTCACTGTACAGACTGGACACGGGTGTTCAGGTCAGCTGATGTTCGCAAAGTGGTTTAGAGAAGCCTGTTTTCACTTTTCATTTTTGCGAGCAACTACGTCTGTCAATGGGTCTCTGATGAGCAAATACTAGGATATGGTATGTGTGTTTTTGTGCGATAATACAGTACTGCTCAACGGAATGCAATCAAGCTAGTCAAGGCCCACACCGGGCGCTGTGTAACTGTAGACCTGTGAACACTGGGACGGTGAACTGGTGCAGGGCGCCCACTTGATTCACCCGGTCGGATTTCTTTGACCACCACTGACTCGGTCTGTAGTTATGAGATTTCAGATGAAGTATAAGTTCAGCACAGTCTCGTCTCGTGTTTATGCTTGACGTCCTGGAATGCCGTAGCTATCTGTAGAGTGTACCTGCAATCATTGTGTAGGAACTTCTGAAGTTCTATGTTTCTTCCCAGGGGCACCGGTAGCATTGTGTTGAAGCCGAAAACAACCGCCGAAGTATCGGAGATTCTGAAATACTGCAACAACAGAAAGTAAGGGGTGCAACCATATCCTGCATGTCCTGAGTCATGCTGGCAGTGCTACTGGCATTAGTGACAACATTATGGAACAGTGCAAACTGTGCATGCCAGGATGCTAAAAGCAGTACAGTCATGTAGTGCACACTAGCATGAACGATGTGTAAACGTCGAAAAGAACTCTACCTGGATACCAATATAATACTATGAGCCGTTTTGTGAGTACGTTTGCCCCAGGATTGCTTAGCATGAAACTCAGGAGTAGCTACATGTACAGTGCTGCCAAATATTTTTCGCCCAAAATCGGACACCCTTCACGGCCAAGGCTGGCCACATGGTGCGAATTTTTCTCCTCAGAATTTTTTTCCAGAGAATTCAAAATATCGCCCAAAATACCATGAAAATTCGCTTTGTTGCCATAGTAACCGATATGGCATCCCGAAGTTGTCATGAATTTTGTAATGCACAGTGCCATCCAGGCATTTTACTTTAGCGCTAGCCTTTTTATAAGCACATGTACAGTGATTTGTGCCTTTAGTTGCGCTGAAAAGTGAAAATACAGGACTTCTGCATTGGGAAGTACTGATCCCTGACATTTTGGCTGCTTTTCGGACCTTTCCTTTTTCGGACCGGTTTTCGGAAGAGCCTTCAAAAATCGGACATTGTCCGAAAAATCGGACGGTTTGGCAGCACTGCATGTATAACCTCGTTTTGTCATTTGCATGTGGGCAGTTTTAAAGTTGCTTGTGTCTTGCAACTGTGCATGTGGAAAAATTGCTTCCTTTGACTTCTACTTTTGCCACTGCACAGCTTAGCAGTGGTCCCTCAAGGTGGACTTACTGGCTTGGTTGGTAAGTTCCACCACATCCAGTATACTTTGTGGTGCGTCTGGCGGGGCATGTGTTTTTGAGTGTGTGTATGTGTGTTCCTGTGTGTATTATGATACTTGGACCCCATGTGTGTGAGCATGGGTGTTTGTGGGTGCAGGTCTATGTTCGTGTGTATGCGTAGTGTGTCACAATGTATTATTGTTCTCTATATCCGAATGTTGCATAATAGATCGGTTGATTGTATATCTATCTCTTCGTTTTGTCATGTGGCAAGTTATGTGTGTATGTGCATGTATCCATTATGTGTATGTGCAGGTGGCAGTGTACCAGTATTTGATGAAGTCATTATCTCTCTATCTTTGATGAACAAGATCATCAAGATTGAGCCATTAGCTGGTAAGCTGGTAAGGTTTCATCAAGTGCACTGTGAATGTACTTGTGCGCTGTCTTAGCGAAGAAGTTTTGACTGCTCCCAGCGTGGAGCTCAGGCTTCCTGCCAAGTTTATTTGCAGTTGCGTAGCTCACGACTGCCATCTGGAGCACACCAGGTGCATGTTGAACCTTCCACTCGGCAAACCTGCAAGAAAGCACCTCTCCTGCCCAATAGTATAGACTAGTGAGTTCACCCCTCATTTGTTATGGTATGTGCTCCTGAAAAACTACATTTTTATTTTGCTGAAGCAACCCGGACATTACTAGGGATATGAACTTACAATGACGCTCTGTGTCCAGCGTGACAAACACTTCGTGAGGCCCCAGGTAGAAGTGTGAGTCAGTATCAGTTTCACTCATGGGGTAGTTGGAAACAGGCACTGAGGGTCGTTAGCCATTCCAAATGTTGCCAACTCTAATGTCCAGTCACATGCTTGTGCGAGGGATAGCAGTACGGACTTCGACATGGCGATTTTGGTGGTACAGGTGGAATCCTGATAATTCGAACCTCAAAATGCCAGGAAAAAACTTCTAATTATCCGGACATTCTAATTATCCAAACATGAACCCACAACACAATATGTATGTCAAAATGCTCTCATGGTCACGCAGAGTTGCGCTATGGACCTTAGACACAGATTTCGCGGATACTGAACTGACCGGCACAGCCTGCTCATGCAAACTGAACTGACCAGTACAGTGTACAGTGAACTTCGAATTACACTAACTTTGCTAACTTCGAATTATCAGCACAAATCCCACACATTTTCTATGTAAGTGGAATCTGTGGGACTTTGAATTAACCGGACATATCCAGTTTGAGGTTCGAATTATCAGAAATTTATGTGGGACTCGTATTGGTAGAAATCGGTCCTGGAAAAACTTCTAATTAAGCGGTATGTTCGAATTAAGCCATATTCGAATTATCAGGATTCCACCTGTAATTAAAACGTTGTCTTTTAGTTGAAAGCGTTGTCTTTGTAGGAGAATTCATGGTGTGGCTTTGCTCTATGTTTCTATCACTCAGGAGTACTTGTCTGCCAGGCTGGGTGTGTACTGCAGCGTTTGAATGATGCTGTAGCGGAGCATGGCATGACCATGCCTTTAGATCTTGGTGCGAAGGGTGCATGTCAGATTGGTGGCAACGTCTCGACTAACGCCGGTGGAATTCGCTTTCTACGCTACGGTTCTCTACATGCCAGTGTGCTGGGTCTTGAAGCTGTAAGCTACTCTGCTCTTTTTTCACATCTACTATCACATGTGTGTCTTGGCAAAACAAGGTCAATCTCTTATAGGAATCCGTGATAGGATGAGAATAGAATTCTCCCCATGATAAATGCTACTTGTAATCTAGTCACCGGGCAACGTTCACCGGGCAATACATTGTCTACGATTCCTATTACTCGACTTTATACAAAACTAATCTCGTACGAAATTTGATCATGCGCGCTAGGCGGATTTGCTCGCCTGATAAGCTTCAGCAAGAGCTTTGTTTCCTGAAGAAGGTATTCGTCCAGAATGGATATCCTGTTCAGCTCCTCAGTAAGCTGTTTAGCGAACCTGATATTCAGGCTGCCGAGCCTGAGTTTGGACCTGACCCATGTCGTGTGTTTTTACGACTTCCATGGAAAGGTCAAATTTCGCTGGATGTGGCCCGCGCCGTGAGGACTGTTGTCAGACAAACCTATTTTGCCACAGC